TCTCCAGCGCGGTCGCCAGTGCGAAGAACGTAGGTGCAGGGACCAAAACCCCCACCACGCTGACGCTGCGTGTACCACTCACGGAGCTGCTGAGGGGTGGGGACGTCGCGAGAACGCTGCTGCTGCTGCTGGAGCTGACCACCCCTAGTGCTGCTCCGCTGCGAAGCGCCACTCCGACCACCTCCACCACCGCCACCCCCGCCTCCGCCTCCACCACCGCCACCTCCGCCACCTCCGCTCCCACCGCCACCGCCGCCGCCACCCCCGCCTCCACTGCCGCCACTAGCACCTCCACCCCCGCCAACACCTCCACCGCCACCCCCACTCCCTCCGCCGCCTCCACCTCCACCTCCACCGCCCCTGCTGGCCCCACCCGCTCCCTTGCCCCCGCCGCCCTTGCCAGGGCGGCGTCTCCCGCTAGGGGCAGACACCGCACCGACCGACTCAAGACCAACGAGGTCGGCCGCAGCGGCACAGGCGACAGAGGGCAAGAGAGGGGAAGGAGAACACCCCTCAAAGATGGGGGCGCGGGGGTCACCTCGAGAGGCTCCTACAGCGACTATGCTCTTCTCCACCGCTAGGAGGGCCTTCTCGAGGCTGTCGACTGTGAGAGTGGTGGGACAGACCGCGAGGAAGTGGTCCCGGACTACACGAAGGGAGTCAGGGAGGCGAGTGACTAGAGAGTAGAGAGTGATGTACATGGGGGGGGGGGTTCTTGGCGCAGAAGTCAGCAGGAAGCGCAGCGCGGTAGCGGGTGTCACTAGTGCGGAGGTGCGTAATGAGATCAGCGACAGTGGGAAAGGCGGCAAGGTCAGGGAATTGGAAGGGGAGCATGAGGCGGCTCAGTGCAGCAGTGGCAGGGGAGGAGTAGCGCGCAACTACAGCGTCGTACAAGGTCTGAGCACTCTTGTACTGACTAAAGTGCGCACGCTCAGCGGTAGGCAGGTGGCGACGCACAGCAAGACGTGCAGCAGCATCGCGTGTGGCCCACTTGGAGCGAACGGTGGGGTCAGCATCAGCAGCAGGGGCAGGGACGGCGCCAGAGGTAAGGTCAAAGAGAGAAAGGTCGTCTACCCTATCGCACTGCAAGAACAGCTGCAGGTCGTCGACCCAGACCTCAAAGTCAATGGCACGACCCTCAGCGTCAAAAGCTAGGACACTAGGGGTAGCCATGACTGCAGTCGGCGGTCTCACCAGACAGGACGGGTCGGGCAGCTCAGCAGCACAGCAAAACGGCAGCTCGGCCGGCCCAGCAGCAACAGCAGCACCTCGGGACCAGCGGCTCTGCTCCTCAGGTGGCTCGGGCGTCTCGGGCGTCGCAGGCGGCTCGGGCGGCTCGGGCGGCTCGGGCGGCTCGGGTGGTCAGCGGCACAGGCGGCTCGGGCGGCTCGGCTCCTCAGCTGCGCAGGCGGCTCGGGCGGCTCGGGTGACGCAGGTGGCACGGGCGGCTCGGGCGGCTGGGTGTCACAGCGGCGTACGGGCGGCGTGGGGCCGGGACGGCGGCGCACGGCTGGGACGGGTGGCGCACGGGCGGCTGGGAGTGGGGCCGGGACGGGCTGCGCATGGGCGACGAGGGGCCGGGACGGCTGCGCGCGGCCGGGACGGGTGGCGCACGGGTGGCGTGGGGCCGGATCGGGCGGCGCACGGCGTCGAGGGGCCTGACGGGCAGCGCGCGGGCGTCTAGGGGGCCGAGACGGGCGGCGCGCGGGCTCTAAGGGCAGCGCGTGGGCGGCGTGGGGCCTGGACGGGCGGCGCGCGGGCTCTAAGGGCAGCGCGCGGGCAGCGTGGGGCCTGGACGGGCGGCGCGCGGGCTCTAAGGGCAGCGCGCGGGCGGCGTGGGGCCTGGACGGGCGGCGCGCGGGCTCTAAGGGCGGCGCGCGGGCGTCTAGGGGCCGTTAGGGCAGATCGAAAAAGTAAGAGAGAGGGCCCGGAGCGCGCTCCGGGCAGTAGAAAAGTTCGATGTGGTGGGCCCTAAGCACAGTTCCCACGGGGGAACCTGCTCGATACCATGAGAAAACTAGAACGAGAATGAATCAACTATGAATGAAGTGAGTACATATAGGAAACCCTGATTGGGTTGTACCTCCTATGGGATACGCCACTATAGCCTACACAAATATATATAAGCTATAATGTTCTGACACAAAGCAGGGCGGGCGTTGCGGCTTGAGTGGCATTGGTGACATGATGGCCTGTTCGCCACTTGTCGCCGCGAACTCCTCGTGCCGACAGGCTTCGCGAGGCTCCCGCGGGCTTGGTGCGACCCTGTTTTCTCCCATGCCAGGCATCGGCTGGGCGGCGCCATCGCTGGCTGCGCCTGAGCGTTGTCCCACGCTGTTGTTTTGTGTTGGTGTGCCGGACGAGATGACGATCGGCTTGTCTGATTGTGCAGATGCATTTGTCGGTGCATGTGGTGGCACTGGAGTGTGCATCGTTGATTGCTGACACGCGGAGTCACGTTCCGCCGTGAGCGTCGCAATTTCGAGCGCCGAATCTTCGAGTTGGCGCACCAGACGGTCGAGCTTCTCCTGCGTCAATGTGGCGAGCGTGAATTCGGACATGGCGGGGGTGTCGGGCGAGCTCAGTGAGAGCCTCAGTCATGGCCGTGCGTGCTTACGAGAGATCACTACGAGCGGCAGTGCTGTGTCGCTGAGAGACGTCTACCCCCCCCCCAAAAATTGAGATAGTGGGGAAGCGAAGGTGTGGGTGCGGTCCGAGAAGAGATCGTATGCTCTGAATACCAAGTGTTACGAGTGCAATTGAGTGAACGAACAAGAATTGCACTATCGAAGCAAGAGTACAATGAGCGAAGGCATGAGCGAAGAATATATAGCGAAACTACAGTGGTAACGGTAATGGACTGTGGTTGTCGCGTGGCAGGCCTGGGACTGAGGTTGGGAAAAGTGTCGAAGCGGAGGCCCGGAGCACGGGTTACTCGCCGAGCCGTGAGGTCGGGGTGCGACGTGCGAAGATGGCGGGCAGATTGTCGATGCGAGGGTTGCGAGTGGTAACGGTGCTGACCGTGGTGCTACAGTGATGTACGCGTTGAGCAGGGATGCGAAGTAAGGAAAAGGAATTTTCCTTACAATTTTGATGTTTATAATAACTTCTAATAATTTGGAAGAAACGCTCGGACGTTGCCAATCGCGAGGCAGCCTTCTTCGTGAGACACAACGTACAAAACGTAAGTCCTTAGGGTGTGTCCAAAGTCCCCCTCGACATCCATCCGTCATCCATCCGTCATCGGATGGATGACGTTGGCGGATGACGGGGGATGACGGATGGATGACGGTTGGATGTCGAGTCACTTCGGGCACACTGCCGGTGACATAACTGCCCAAAATAATGCCGGCCGGCACTGTTGGCGCTGGCAGGGGCAGACCAGAGAAAATGTTAAATGTTCAAATTTGAATCTAACGAATTTCGCTAACATGTTTCGTCACCCCGTGCAGTCACAAAGGACGGTCGTTTGCCAAGAGATACTTTCGCCATGTTTCCCCCTCAAAATTTGTTATCAAACTTTGGGTTCGTTGACTGCCTCGTTGACCAGCCCGATGTCACTGTTGGTGGCACCCTTGACTGTAATGATTACACATGGCTGGATGATTGATGGATGTCGGTCGGATGTCAAATCACTTCGGACACAACGCCGGCCTGTAAATTCTCACCTACCCACCCTGACATCCGTCGACATCCAACGACATGTTACTTCGGACACGCCCTTACACCTGAACAAAGGGCGTCGTTGTGGTAGCTCCCTCTCTCGCTCTCTACAAGGCGACAAAGGGGTACTTCAAGGGTTTACTAGGCACCGTATGTTATGTGCTGCATCCCTTGTAGGTTAGCTAGGAGGCATCTTGTTCTACGTCGGCACCCCTTTGGGTTGACTTTCGCTCTTTTTTTTTTGGGTGCCCTCGGGAAACTCGCTTGCGTGGAACGAGACGCTGCTGTTTTACGTGGGGCACCAGAACCCGTTCTTTACTCGCGGACAAAGGAGCACCTACGTTGACATTGGCACGTATTCTCTGCGTCAGCACGGGCACGGGCCTTGTACAGCACCGCCGTGGCTGCTGCCAAAATAATCAACGGGTCCTTCAGAACACAGCTGGCGCTGGCTGTCGAATGGACCTCTCAGAACATATGGGTGACAAAGTCCGGCAGAACATGTTCATTCCTATTTGCACGGCACCGACACTGTGTTGGCACCGTACTGCGTCGGCACCGGGCGTAGGTTTATGTGGCGTCCCCGGCCTAGGCCCTTGTACAGCAACCCCAAGCCAATGTAGTCAACGGATCCTTAGTACAGCAACGCCGGCCCCCGTACGAACCGTTTCAGAGCATACGGCGGGCGCCAACGTCGCTACGTGGGCACCAGAACGTAACGTTCGTCATTTGCGGGCAAGGGACGTTGGCACGGCATCCCCATGGCTGCCCAGCGTTATCACCTGAGAGCCAGGGCACCCCTTTGGGTTGACATTCGCTGCTGCTGTTGATCTAACCTGGCCGCTCCCTCCAGGGGAAGGCTCCACTTTGAGGCGCAACATGGCCGTGGGTTGCGTGAAAGCAGTGAGTGCCATGTATCTCAACATAAATGCGTTTCTTTCACAGTCAGTACCATCACTTCACCTTTGGGCCTGTTGAGTTCGATCAACACACCCCCCTCCTGCAGATCACTCCTCGTTCTCAGCGTCCCTATTATCGCTATCTCGCACATTCTCCCGCTCCCAGTGCCTTCAACACACGATCGCGACAATGGCTTACTCTCGGACGGCCGCCGTGGTCGTGCTGCTGCTGCATGCGGCGTGCCTCTCATCGCCGCATCGTCTGGTGGCAGGCCACGTGTGGCCTCTCAGAGAAGAAGCCTCTTGCCGCGAGATGGCCGTCAAGGCGCCTCGTGAGTGTTCTAACCAGTCGTCTGAGGATCTGCACTGCAGTCGTCCGTCTTTTTTAACTCGCACTGCCCATTCCATCCCAAACTCTTTTAACAGTTTAATCTCCCCATGCCGCCCGTACTTATCTCATATCCCTTCCCCCCTCCCCACCGCCCCGCTGGCGTGGTGTGCCCGACGGGAGCGTACTGCGTGGTGGACAGCGGCGGCTTCCCCTTCTGCAAGTGTCTGAGCGGGGAGGGCATCATCAACAGCGGCGCGTGCATCGGTGCCATGAGCTGGAAGACGGTCGGCACGAGCGTCGTTCTCTACAACAAGGCCTCCTTCGCCAACTCGCCCGCCACGCTCGCACCCGCCGTGCTGCGCGCGCCAGCGCCCAACTCGTCGGTGTGTCGGGTCGTTCCAAAGGGCTTTAACGGCACGGTGGGGTCGCTGCGGATTATGTGGAACGTGGATGACGGCGCCAAGGACCACCTCATGTGCGGCAAGCTCGTCTTCTGGGACAAGCCCGACTGCTCGGGTTCTTCATTTGTGTATGAGATTCCCGGCAAGTGGACGGCAGCCAAGGCCGACAAGTTCAACTACGCCACCACCAGCGTCAAGCGAGTGGCCGTGGTGCAGCACCGTTGCATTGGCCTTGGCTCTGCGTCTGCTGATTGCGTTGACCGTGGCTCTCTGCTTGTGTTGCGTGTTGACTGCACTAATCGTGACTCTCTCTGCGTGTGTGGGCTGGTGGCACGGATTGCGTGGTGGCGACAGGCAGGTCCTTCTCGTGTCTGGCGTCCGTGAAGCCGCCTGAAACGGACCTCTCTGCCACGGCGGCATGCCCGCCCAACTCCAAGTGCTCCCTCAAGAACAGCTCCTATGCCGTGTGCACGTGCGACCCTGGCACCACCATGGTCGACAATGGCTACTGCGTTGGTGAGTCGTCGTCATGTCGTGGAGTGGAGTGGAGTGGAGTGGAGTAGAGATGACCACGGAATGAAATTCATGCAGGGTCCCTGCTACACACGTGCATTGACTCATGATTTGCAGCCTTCCCTTCTCTCTCTCTCCCTCTCTCACCCTCTCTCTTCCCTCTCCTCTCTCTTCCTCTGTCCAATGTTACATGCTCCAGTAACTCTTCGCTCTCATCGGCCCGTATCTGCACAAAATGGCTTCATGCATGCACACCAATATGATAAATCATTTATTGTTTTTGTAATACGTTTCTTTTATGCAGAATCGTGCTCCGTCAAGCAGTGTGGCACTTATGGCCGTTGCGTCTATCTGTCTAACGGCGAGCCGTATTGTGACTGCATGGATGGCTACGAGCAGGAGTTGGTAACCGGCTCGTGCATTGGTATGTGTGCTTACATTGGCGTGTCACTATCTCTGCCTCACTCTCCCTTTCCACTTTTTCAATCTCCTCGTTTTCCTTTTCCATACTCTTCCATCCTATCCCCTCCTTCCTCCCCATTCCTCTCCACCTGTCCTTTCTTCCCGCTCCTGCTTCCTTGTTCTCCCACGGAAATCACTCCCCCGCTATTACATATCCCCCTTCCCTCTAAGCACAAAGTCACCAATCTCGCGTCTTCCGTTTTTTCCTCAACCCCCATGTTGCCTACAGGAGAAGGCCAGTGCAAGGAGTGCCTTCAGGGTACCTTTGGCATCTATAATATGTCGTACCCTTACTGCGCAACGGGCTTCACCCAGCACTCTGGTGCTTGCCTGCCAGGTGGGTACTGTGCCTCTCGGAGCCTGTGCATGCCCCATGCGATCAGCAGTTAGTACCACCACTTCGATGCGGTTTCTGCTTCACCATCATTTCAAGGAAGCGTCTAGTGCCAGAAATCTTTTTGCTGTCTTTTTTCCTTCTCTGCCTGATCGCTTCTCTTCTCCACCACTCCCCTGCGTCCAATCACCTGATGCGATTTCCAGGAGTCGTTCCGGACGTGGCTGACGTGGCCATCAGCATCTACAGCGCTCTGAACTTGGGCGGAAAGAATCCTCCCTACGTCTTCCGCCTCAAGCCCAGCAAGTGTGTCAACATTCCGATTGGCGTGCTCACGAGCAGCAAGTCGGTGGGCATGCTGTTCCGTGCGCCGGGGTCGAACCTGAGGTGCACGTCCATCATCATCTACGATGCGGTCAACTGCGGTGGTAACCAAATCAGCTCCGACGTGCCTCCTGGCAATGACGTTTCTGCCGTTCCCATTCTGTGAGTCTTTCTCTCTCCCTCTCTCTCTCCCCCCCTCTCTCTCTCCCTCTTCTTTCCCTCTCTCTCTCCCTCTTCTTTCCCTCTCTCTCTCCCTCTCTCTCTCCCTCTCTCTCTCTCTCTCTCTCTCTCTCTCTCTCTCTCTCTCTCTCTCTCTCTCTCTCTCTCCCTCCCTCCCCCTCTCCCTCTATCTCTCCCCCTCTCTCCCTCCCCCTCTAATCTGCCCTCCAACTTGTTTCTAACATCAAAGGTCATTATTCCGAATCGTATGCATGAACTTTCGATTAATTGCCTTCTTTGAATCTCCATGTGTCTCTCATCAATAACAATGGCCTGTGGAAACCCTACTCTGTTCAGTGCCGTTTGTGGGCTGAAGAATGAGAAACTGCCTAGAAAGACATCAAGCTTTCAGATTTCGAGTCCAAGTAGAAGGCTGCATGGATCGGATGGCCTGAACTGAAGTCGTAGTTGAACCCTTCTGGGCAACAAGTATGGTAGTTCTTTGCTAGGAGTTTTCTGCTTTCCCTCCCTGTTCCCCTTCTTCCTTTCTCATTCTCCCCCTTTTCCCTTTTCCTTCCACTCTCCGTCACAACTATGGTGTGCTGTGCTGCTTTTTTTACCTCCTTATAGTGGACATGTTGGACTGAATCTCTTAACGAACCAATGTATCCTGGATAAGCCACCTCTTGAAACTAAGAGCTAACAGAGACTTCTTCTCGATAAGGTCAGATTTGTTGGGCTGAATGCCCCTTAGGATCTTTGGTAGGGTCAAACTCTGGGTAGAGTGATGTAGTAGCGGAAGCGTTTTAAATGAAGTCCTTGAACCACCTTGCGCTGGTATGTGAGGGCAAAGTAAGTTGATTAAAACAAGCAAGTACAAAGGTTTATATAAGAGTACAAAGAATACGAAGAGATATAATTAAACTGTTTTGCTGTTGCGGTTCGATACAATGCGACTCGGACAACTGCTCAATGTCGAGTCAGTTGTGTGTCCTTGCTGTCGCGCTGCACTTGTCAAGTCAAAGGTCGCTGACCTTTGACTTTCGCGTAACCTCCAGCGGTCACTTCAACCTCCAAGGGTTGACTCGCTGGTGCCTCGATATGCTTTGCTTCGCTTGTGCCTTGGTGTTTCGACACGACACAGACGCTTAAGATTGTTTGTTCCCAACACTTCCCTTCGATTCTGGAGTGTCGCTGCTGGTGACGTGGCTTTGTCCAGTCAGCAGCATGCAGTACTCGAACTTCTGTTTTCCAAGCTTCTTGGTCAACTAGTCAGGTGCCATCTCGGACGTGGGATAGTAGGATAGTTCAAGTCTCCCTTTCTCGATCTCGTCCTTCACGAAGAAATATCGCAGGGCGATGTGTTTCGTCCTGTTCGCGAAGCCGTTCTTGTTGGCGATGCGAATTGCCGATTGGTTGTCGCAGAACAGGGTAAAGTTGGGTAACTCGGCTAACTTCGCTTCTTCCAGCAGCTCGCGAAGATAAAGTCCTTCCTTGGTGGCTAAGCAAAGTGCAATATATTCTGCTTCAGCTGACAAGAGAGCAATTAGTTCCTGCTTGCTCGATTGCCAGGAGATCGGTCCGATAGGTTCGAGGCGGTAGATGTAGCCGGTGCGGGAGCGCATGTTGTCGGAGTCGCCAGCGTAATCAGCGTCGACGTAGCCGATTAATTTAGTCGGTGTAGTTCTGTTTTTGTAGTAAGTTAGGCCGATTGTTGAGGTACTGACGAAGTAGTGGAGAGCGCGGTTTAGCTCTGCCATGTGTTCTGCTTCGGGCTTCTTGAGGTAGGTGGCGAGGTGGCTTGCGGATTATGAGAGGTCGGGGCGGCAGGTGACAGCTGCGAAGAGAAGGCATCCTAGCTTTCTCTGGTAGTCGCATATTCCGGCGGATTTGAGTAGAGAGGATCCTTCATTGTGGTTTCCTGTCGCGTAGCGGTAGGGCGTAGAGATAGTGGTAGGTGTGAGCGCGAAGCGTTTGGCGATGGTGTCGGCGTACTTAGCGGCGTTGAGGTAGATCGCGCCTTCTTCTTCCCAAATGTTCAAGCCGAGATACTGTGTGACAGTAGAGGAGACCGTGAGTGTGAGGTCCCTCTGTAGCTCCCCTTCGAACCAGGTGGTGATGTCGTCAGTGGAGCCGATGTAGAGTAGGTCGTCTACGTAGACGATCAGCAGAATGTAGTCGGTACCCTTCGTGAGCCGGTACATGCCCTGGTCGTGTGGCAGTTGCTTGAAGCCGATGCGAATGAGGCGAGTGTGTAAGTATTGTTGCCATAGCCGCGGAGCTTGCTTGATCCCGTAAAGTGATTTCAGTAGTTGACAGACTTGGTTAGGTTCCCCGTTGGTACCGTGTGGGAGCTCGACGAAGATTTCCGCGTCGACAGGTGCGTAGAGGAACGCGTTGGCGACATCGATTTGCCGTAGCTTCATTTTCTTCATGGCGGCGATCGCGAGGAGGATTCGAAATGAGGTATGTCGGCTAACCGGGGCGAATGTCTCGGTGAAGTCCCGTCTGTGCTCCTGATCAAATCCACGCACAACCTGTCAGAATTATGTTTAATTATAACTGCATGTAGTTCTAGCTGTAGTGTAGTTATTAAATTTGTAGGTGGTGCACCTCTTCTTTTGTTTCCTATGCTATATGTTCCTTGAACCCATAGTGAAACCCATTCTTCCCAACTCTTCTCAACTCACTCGAACTTCTCCCTAGGCACAAAACCCGCTCGATACCTAAGTTGGGCCTAGGCTCCTAAGCCTAGGCCCTAGTTAAAACTTTGTTTCCTCTCGTTCATTTCAACATGTTATCAGAGCGACGTTCGTTCTGGCCTGTGCGCCCGCCTCACGTTTCCGCTGCTACGATTTTCCGGTCGCGCGCCTAGGGTGCGTGGCGATTTTTCCTTGTCCCGCCCCCGGTTGGCGTGTGACGCCTTCTCTGCCCGTCGCGCGCCCCGTGGCACGCGACGGTGCCCTTATCCTGCCCGTCGTGCGCCCCGTGGCACGCGACGGTGCCCTGCTCGTCGTGCGCCCCGAGGCACACATCGGGCCCTTTCACTTACACTTACCCGTCGTGCGCCCCGTGGCACGCGACGGGCCTTTCCGCCCCTGCTCTCCATGAAGCCGCCCCTGACCTATCAGCGCCGACACCGTTTAGCCGCTCTGCGGCTTTTCTTCCCGCCCACCCCCTCCTCCTTTGTCTCCCTGCAGCCGTGGGGAGGAGGGTATGGGGGTGGCGGGTGTTGGAGTGTTGGGTCGACTCCTTTCCTTCCCCTCCTCCTCCTTTCAGTCCCACCGCTGCAGCTGCCGCTGGGGGGGAGGGTGTGAGGGTGTGGGGGAGCAGGGGGAGAGGCACCGGGGTGGCGGGTGTGAGGCAACCAGCAGCCGTCCCTCCACCTCTCCTCTCTTCCCCCCCTCTCTGCTGCTCCTGCAGCAGTGTGGGGGAGGGGAAGGAGGAGGGTGAGGAGATGGAGGGGGTAACCATTCAAAGTTAGCCCGCCTGCAGTACCTGCTGTTGCTTGTTTTATTGTTCGTTGGTGTACCTCTGCAGCTTGTGCTCTGCACTTAGCTATTCCTGCATGCAGTTACGGGGGGATGTCAGAATTATGTTTAATTATAACTGCATGTAGTTCTAGCTGTAGTGTAGTTATTAAATTTGTAGGTGGTGCACCTCTTCTTTTGTTTCCTATGCTATATGTTCCTTGAACCCATAGTGAAACCCATTCTTCCCAACTCTTCTCAACTCACTCGAACTTCTCCCTAGGCACAAAACCCGCTCGTTTCCTTCGTTGGGCCTAGGCTCCTAAGCCTAGGCCCTAGTTAAAACTTAGTTTCCTCTCGTTCATTTCAACACAACCCAGCGTGCTTTGAACTTCTCAATTGTGCCGTCTGCTTTTGTTTTAACGCGGAAGACCCATTTACCGGTGAGAATGGTCTTGTTCCTTGTTACTACATCACTCTACCCAGAGTTTGACCCTACCAAAGATCCTAAGGGGCATTCAGCCCAACATGGTATGAGAGCAGGTTAGGGTTATAATCATCTCTCCTTGACACCTAATACACCAAGAGACATGTCTACCAGAAAGGAGAGGAGCTCCTCCAATGGCTCTCCTGGTACTACTCCTACTCCACCTCCTGCCTCTGGCCTACAGACAGAGGAAGGCACAACAACGAGACCGGCAGCTGGGTCTACTGAAATACCCACAGACCAGGGCACGGGCTTCGATCCAAGCATGATGGAGAAGTTCTTCTCCTTCATGTCCTTCTACGAGCAGCATCAGCAAGGAGCACCTGCGCAATCAAACAACAGCAACAACAACAACAACGTGACGCCCATGAGTCTTGATGGCTCATCCTACGCACGCGGGAATCAAGAACAGCAACCTACCTTCGCTCCCTACGAGCCCCAGCGCGGCTCCGTCAGTTTCATGCCACAACCACAACCTGCACCAGGACAAGAGAGAACGCTGGACGCACTACAAGTTCAGCCGCAGTTCGCGCACGTTCTAAAACTGCAAACGACAAAACCCTTCGACGGGAAGGATTTCTTTACCTGGTCGCTCGAATTCGAGCTGATGATGGAAAGAGCGCAAATCCTTGGCTTCTTCGACGGGTCCCTGCCATACCCAACAAACGGCACACAGTATGAGAAGCAGCAGTACTCCTACCAATCGATGATGGCGTACACGATACTACTGAGGAACATCACTCCAACTCAACAACAGAACATACGGTCTTACCGAGGCTACGGCAACTCCGCGGAGCTCGCGTACAATCACTTGAAGAGTCTGTATCAAGCAACAGACAGCGTAAACCAAAGTCGGTTAATGGCGCAGCTGACAACAATCGAAATGAAACCAGGCGAGAAGGGAATGGCGTATATCAGACGCTGCCGCGAGCTCCACTCGCGCCATACTATGAGCCCACGAGAAAATTTCTGAAGCAGCACTTTGCGCCGAAATCCACGCCGAGCAACAAGACATGGACCTGCAAGAAGAACGACACAAGAGAAAA